CCCCCCCCCCCAAATTTTGCCAAAACTGTTTAGGACTCATATAAAGAAGCCTAATAAAGATCCAGGGTCTTCTTAGTCAGGCTCCCATGTTGAGGTGTAAGGGTTTAGGGAAACCCTAAACCCCAAACGGGTCTGGGGTTGATCTCTTCATATCGGCCTCGTCATTTGGGGACTGCAAGCAGATATTTCGAGCGCCCAACCCTACTTTCAGGTTCATGGGGCTTAGTGACTTAAGCGGCTCCCTGAAGGAATGAAAAAAGTTTTTTTTTTTTATAGGGGTTGTATAGAGGTACTATCGGGTTTTAGGGCTCAGGGGGCTTTCTCAGTACAGCTAGATATGCCTCAGTTGGGGTTCATTATATGCAATTATAGGCATAGTTACTTGATTGATAACCCTAGTTACTTAGTCCCATGAAGCCTTTAACATAGACTTCTGCAAGTCTTCCAGAAATCCTACAGTCATGTCAGGATGCTACGTCGCCTACATGCATGCCTGCAACAACGAAACACTTTGATGATAAACGGCGATGGCTACCCCTAAAACCTAAACCCTAAACCCCTAAACCCGCTGAAAAGCTCACGAGCCCCTGCCCCAACTCGAGAACCGACGAGTTCTGAAACTTTGAAGCTAATCTCGCTCCCCGACACATGAGCGCTGCTATACGAAGCTATTGGGACTACGACTGCGCCTAAGGGTCCATGTACCCCAAAAAGATCCCAAAGTACCTATTATATATGGACTACTTCAAGGCCAAAGCATATACTACTCAGGTACATGGACCCTTAGGGTGCGACTGCGAGGACGAAAACGACAGCGACGACTGTCGCGACCACTACGAAGAAGGGCAGCAGCAGCACCTAAACCCTAAACCCCTAAACCCTAAACCCAATCAGCAGCAGCAAGACATCGACGACGACGACGGCGAGTGAGGAGGTGTCGGGGATGGGTCCATTGGCTCACAGGGCCGGGCTTCTTGGGCCAAAAAAGCGAAGCTCTGACTTGGTTTAGGGTTTAGAGTTTACGGTTTCAAAACTCAACTGCCCTGCTGCCTCCAGCCACATATGCAATGCCGCAGTCCAGGGTGCGATTGGAAGCCTAGGGGGCGCTGCTGTCTCATTTCTGCAATCCACTGCTCAGCCTCGTCGGGGGTGTTGGGGATCTTGAGTTTTATGGGTTCAGGGT